AGCGCCATATTTTGCGAGTAACAGTTCTCGTCAAGGCTTCTTGACAACATCATCAGAAGCTCATGGCGGCGGTATTGTCGGAAGAGTCAACTATGCCGACTCAATGCTGTCTTTTCCGCCAGTTCGGTCGCCAAGGCGGGGAACGGGAGTGCCGTCGGCCCAAGTTGGAGCGCGAAACTGGGCCCCTTTGCAGGGCATCGCTGCCAGAAAATGTTGATGGAGGGGTTCAGCCCCGGCGCGCGCCTTTCTCTCTCTCCACTGAGGGGTCCATGTTGACGGAGTTGAGCAGAGTCTAGACACCACCTCCAGTGCTAGGAAACAAAACAATGGAAACTGATCAATTCCCAGCCTGCCGACCGGAAATCCCGGGCACAGCCGGGGCTCGACGTTGCCTCCCAAGTTGACGTGCGCTTCCAACATTGACGTTGAAATGCTAACAATTGTCCTCCTTCCTCTTTGTCTCTTCTCTCCCACGCGCTCCCCACGCTTCACGTCCAGTTCCTCTTACGCATTGAATTGCGCTGATTCGCGACCGCCTCGCATGGCAGGGGTGTCACAGCACGAGCCAAAATAAAAATGAGAAATAGCAGCTGGCGTGAGATGCGCCCGGGATGACGAGATGCAAGCAAGGCAACATGGGCGAAATCGCGACTCGCGAGTTGGCGCGCATGTTTGGTACCGAGATGTTCAGCGTTGTTCTGTCATTTCGGGGATCGAGCCTTTTTCCTTCGCACTACTTTTTTTAGAGGGTGATCCCCGTCCATACTGATCCCTTTTTTTCTCGCTCGTCTCTGATTCTCTATCTTATCTTTTGACATCTAGACCTCGGCCAAATCGTCTTTTTTCCCTTCTCTTCGTCTATCTGTCTGTGCACATGTGACGTGGGTCACTTACGAGGGTTCATCCAGGCTCTGACAGATACCTTCACTGCAAAAAAACGATCGTGCGCAGATTGATATGAGATGAACTCTCAAACTTTCTCTCCCAAAGCCCGCGGAAATTCCTGATTCCTCCAACCACTCCGAGACCATCCTAAATGAAAACTATCCATAACTCTAAAGCTCCCTTCACCCAGTCAGGATCTAACGGAACCATCTCCGCGGGCAAATCGCATGTCCCGTCTCCCCCTGATTCCTGACTCTCGACTGCCGGCCGCCCGTCTGAATTTTTGCGTAGCACGGAGTGAGTGGCCAAGCACCTAGCACCTAGACATCGGCTGCTTCCGGGGGAGTTTCGCCCGCCGGCAACCACCGGCGGCGGGCTGGGTCACGCTTGGCGCTGCTAGCTGGGCTGAGTTAGTGACTTGTGACTTGTGAGTAGTGAGTTGTGTGTGTGCGTCGTCCTGGGAGATCGATCGGCTTGGGCTGGGCCTTTTCTTCAACTGGCAAATGGGGCATTGATCTGCGGGCGGTTTTGGTGGTTTCATTACTGATTGAGCGAGAATTGCTACGGGGTTTGCCGGTTGATTGGGGTGGTGGTGGTGGCAAGTTTTCGGGCTGAGAGGCGGCCTGGCACGGGTGGGATGCCGATGTGGGGACGAGGCCGGTCCGAGGTGTTTGGTGTGGTTGAACGTCCCGGGAGGATGGGACATCGTGATCGATGGCAAGTTTGAGGCTTTGGTGGTCACATTGATAATGCGTTGTTTTACAATCTGCGATGCCCGTTGTCTCACCCTTTCGAGACCGCCTGGCTTTCCTGTGTCGGCAGAGTGATCATTATCGTCCATGTCATCGTCCTTATCATTGTTGTCGCCGTCACCTCTAGTATAACTCTCATCTCTGTCATTACTATAGTCCTTGCTACCGTCATTACACTACTGTCATCGTTGTCACTGTCGTGCGTATGGTCCCAAAAGGTGTAGGGCAAAGAAATAATAAGGAGTCCATAGCAAAAATAAGGGGCCTAAAGTTTCCGACGCAGTATACCCTCTTGGGATGCATGCAATGGAAAGTTCTGCTTGGAGGAACACCATGCATATGAACAAACATGCTTTGGACGATGCCAATTCCTTCACTAAAGCATGGACCCTTGTGATCTAGTAACTGTCTCCGCGATCGGAACTTTGAACCAGCCTATAACACGAAACACCGGCTTTGGCTTCATCGATAACGTCTCATTTGCTGCTTCTCATAAATTCGCTGAAAATATCATCGGCGCACGAAAAATGAAACCCATCGGAGCGTGAAAAACTAGAACTCTTGGATCCCATGCCTCCGAAGTTGAAACTGCTTTGACTGGCCCTTGGTGCGCTTGGCTCAGGCTCAGGTGACTTCGTTGGAGCATGGGACGTTCGGCGCTCCGAATTGACCCCAGGAGGCTGACCTACTGAAGAAGAATTCGGCGCAGGAGGAGGCTTCATCCCTGGCGGAGGTAATTTTGTCGATTGTAACGAGGGTCTCGGTCGTTGCGGCACCTTCGGATTATCGAAAGGCCACATTAGCATGATGATGCGGGAGCCTGGTCTGACCAGATCACTCCACAGGCTAGGCAGCACGATGACTGTCTCTTTGATGTCCAACACGAGGTCAAAGTGTCCCTCAGAAACATGCGGTCCAATAATATCCACATGCAAGAATGCCTCTTTAAGCAGATTGTGTACATCCTATAAATCAGAATGGCAAGAGTCAGCAAACCTCAAGCGAAAAGCAGCGACTGGCAAAGGGCCAGAACCAGAACTACGACGTACCTTCCACGTTTTGGCTTTATTATAAGGAAAGACGAACCTTCTGCTCATAGCATCTTTCAAATATATGTTCTCCTCCTTGTCTTCCCGCATGGCTGGTACGAGAGGAGCGGCTTCTTTGGCCTGTTCCTTTTTTTGCACGCCTTGGATCTCGTCTTCAGTGAGGTTCGTCCATTCTGCTAGAAGCTCGTTGACAACGTCCTTACGTCCAGCAGACTTCTGCAGAGTTGTTCCAAGGCTTGCTAGCTGGAGTTCCGTTGAAGTAGCAGAATGTTTCAATCCCCTGCCTTCAGAGTCTTCCTGAGAGTCGGATCCAAACTCTCTGTTTGCTTCCAAGGATTCTGCATATGATGAGAAGACTGTACGGTACAGCCATGCCGCCGTGTCGTTTTGACCGCCATTCCATAAAACCAACTGACTCTGCGCTCTTTCTGTTGAAGTTGACTCGTCTTGTTTTTCATCTTCTGAGCTCGAGCCCGTTTCTTCCGTAGAAAGGGTCGCGACTGTCGTGAGTTCCCGGAGAGACTGGAACGAGGCTTCAACAGTATTCTCAACCTGGTGACGGGCGAGATCTCGGTCGGATTTCATCTCTTCTTCTGTCACAGTTTCTTGGCTACTGTCGGGCAGAGTAAGCCTTGCTCTGGTTAGCTGCTCATCCGTCGTGATACCCATGACCTCAGTTACTCACTCATTTGCCAGACGAATCTGCACGGCGAGCATCATAGTTTGCAGAACCATGTTGATTGCGCTCTTGTGTGCCTCGATCTGATACAGTAGCTGGACACTGGTCGACCGACGGAAGGCCCATTTAAGACGTCCGACCCCGCTTCCTACGTCTATCAGGTCACTGATGGAGCCATGAATCTTTGCGATTCTCTTCATTGCTGAGCGAATGTTTCTCAGCAACTTTCGCCGATAAAGAGAAGTCCCCTCTCGAAGCACTCGTCGTAGCTCGCCCAAGGTGATTGAAAGGTCCGCAATGCCCCGCGCGATGTCGGCTACCTCCTTCGGCGCGCCACGAGCGGAGGAAACGAGTCCATAGATCGCCTTGGAGAGCGAGGCTCCGGCTTGGGATATACCAGCTATGCTTGCGATCAACGATAAAGGATCCATGATATCCTCGGAAATGGTAGTGGTAGTGGTGAAGAGGTCGTGAGATGGTTATGTGACACGAGGCAAAAATGCAGTACGAGGCATTTTTATGGTAAGCCAGGGTGCATAAGACCATTCCTCGCGGGGTATCTGTGTGACAATGAGCGAGCCTTGCCGTAAGCCTGCTGACTCTTGGGAGGCCTGCAACTGCATTATGATGCATCGCCGGCCAATGAGGCGGCCGGGCGGTTGGCCGGGGCCGCAACGCGAATGCGCGCTGCGGCACCGAGAAACACTTTAGCTACCGGAAGAAGCATACAATTAATACCAGAAATTTCAAAACAGTACATAGGTACTATTCTCCAGGCCTCCAAATTTGATTAAATGTTTTTTTCCAATTGTCGGAAGTGACAAAAAGATTGACCTCACTGAGTAAGAAAGCCGTGAGCCGTCAGGGGGACAAAAAGATGCGCCGAGGGGGAATCGAACCCCCGGCTCCCCGACGCTGCTTGATGGCAACGGAGAATTTTACCACTAAACCATCGGCGCTGTGATGATGTTCTGTCGTTGTGGACGTGGTGGGTGACGAGGCTCGCGGAAATCATGTTGTTGAGCGTTGCGTGGGTCGTTGTGGGGGTTGAGGGCTCAGAATCGTGCTGTTGTAGAGACTTCTCCGTCCTACCCCTTAACCAAAGCCTAGGTTTCTTTTCCGATTATCCGCATAATTTTCCTCGGAGTCTACTGAGCGAAAATCGATGAAATCGATCGTCATGCGTTATCCCAAGACTCGTTGGCTACCGTGGGCGGGGTTGGGAAGACACAAGCCTGACCGGTGATTGTCTAGCCACTCTCCTCCTGGCCTGATAATTGCGGCCTCTTGGGAGTGTGATGTCACTTCGAACAATTAGACAGCCAATTGCCGTGGCCCTCTACGTACTCCATGCAGATAGGGCTTTTTCAAGCAGGCTGTGCCGTAGGCGACGATGGCAAGGCACTTCTTTTGGCTGACATGCATAATGGCGCCTACCCCTCATAGAAGGCGCTTAGCATCTTGCCCCGAAATTCACATTCAATCACTGGCAGTTTTACTCTGCTGTTCTCAACAGTCGCGGTTCGCTCGAAAACGCTTCTTGATTATTTCGTATACCCACCAGCGGTTAACATCGATTGCGATACATGAAAGTTGTTGAGGGTGGCTCCAGTCATTATAGCCGATTAATTGGCCATGGATCCCTTCTCGGCAGCTGCCGGAGTAGCTGGCCTTATATCTTTGGGCATCGAGGTTTGCAAAGGTCTTGATGCGTATTGTCGGAACTACCGGAGCAAAGACAGCGAGATCCTCGCCCTTAGTCGACACGCCAAAGAATTAGAAACTTTTCTTGACATGATCGAAAGCCGCATGAAGGCATATTCCGAGGTTGACCAAGCTCTAGCAACGACATTGGAAGATTGCCATGCTACATGCAACATGTGTCTGCAGGACTTCGCAGCACTCAACACCAAGTATGCTCGTCCGAAAGCTGTTCCAAGCTTCAGGAAGCAGGGTAAGGCATTTGTACGACAAATCCAATTTCCGTTTCAGAAGGACAAGTTCGATGGCCTCAGATCCCAGATGCTCCAATTTCAAAAGGCTCTTTCAAGCTGCTTGATTTTGATGAACTAGTAAGTCCCAACATCGAATAGGGGTGGAGCCATTCTGACATTTCGGTAGTGATCGCACGATGGAAGTTCTTCATACTACTGTCTCAGAAGCTGCGAAGATCTCATCTGCTATCATGTTGCAGGGACAAAGAACAGCGGATCAAATATCCTTTTTGCTACCCCACATGGATAAGAGCATAGACGAAAAGTTGAGCAAACTTGAGCAATTGGTTTTGGCACGCTCTAAAAGAATGGAAGGACAAATGGCCTACCCTCATATCCAAGAACAACAGGCAATAGTTCAGGGAGTTGATCGGCACGGTTTCATCTCGGATGACAATGCATTCCATCATGACCGACTATCCACAGAAAGATCCGTATATGGAATCAACAGGGCAAAGGGAACACGTTTCTGGAGCTACCAACAGCTTGGAAAGTGCAACCCAAGCACGATCCCAAATCTCGGCTGCAATTGCAGATGCAAAATGACAAGAAGTCAATTTGGCTTTCGAAGCTTCGACATACTGGAACATCAAGAACAGTGTCCTCTTTCCTTCCTGAGCATGAGAGGTCAAGTGATTTCTGGCAAGGCAAGGATTTTCAGCACCCTTTTAAGTTGGAAGGTCAGCGTTCGCTATTCCCAATTCTTCCTACGGAATTTCCAGGTGCAACCAAACTTCACAATGACAGCAATTGTTGCTCATGACAGTCCTGCATTTCAGATTCTAGAGTCATTGAAAGGCTTTGACGACAAGATGACAGAAAATGAGACAGAGACAAAATTATTGCTGATGATTAGAAGCCTGCACCAGCTCTTCATGAATCACGAAGCTTGGCCAACAGACATAACGGATACAGACCAAAATCTTCTCCATGTACGTTTCATCTGAAATTTACATAGTGAAGTTCCATTAATTTTGAATCAGCGAGCTTGCTCCTTATTTTCGACCTATGAATGGCCCAGTTACAAGGCTCACCTCTTTGTCAAGCTTTTGGCGGCCTTGGTGTCCATGGGGGTTCCTATCAATGGAGATGGAAGGGGAGGGTAAGTGAAGGGTGTGCCCGAGTACATGGTCAGTTTTTGGAGTAACTGACGAGTTCCAAAGCACCCCGTTGCGTTGGTTTTTGTTGTGCCGCGAATTCATGGGAAGCCCAAGATTGCTGCCAACAACGAACAACAGCACTGATTACGTCGAAGTTTCAGGGTTTTTCGCCCGAGAACTAATGTCGCTAAACGCAGTTTATTCAGAGAAGCTCGAGCTTGATCGTTGCTCATCATGGGCACTACTAGGTCTCTTCCCTTTTTTGGGGGGCGCCTTGCACTGTATGTATGAAAAAGGTGCTTTTAACTCGCGAGCCTGGATTCTTCTGCTTACATTCTAAAGGCTTCGATTATGGCGAGTTGTCATCGGCTTTGATTCGAAGATCAGAAGTTGAGGTTCGCCAGCTACTAGGTCAGTCATCGGAGTACATGTTTGAAAGGGGCCATCACGAGCAGACGCCGTTACATATCTCCGTTTACTGGCCCCAAGGCTTGGCAATACTGTTCGAATTGGCCAAGGATGCATGCGCATCTCTCATTGATGCGACAGACTCGGCGGGTCACACACCGCTGCAATATGCCATTTACTGGGCCAATACCGAGTCGGTTGCGCTTTTTCTTGAGCAGAATGCGACGGTTAATCTGGAGGATACGTCTGTTTATGTTCCCTTCCTCGACGTTGAGCGCACCAGAGAGAGGCGGAAGGGGACTTACGACCTTCTGACGAGGGTTCTTGTGGACCGCAGAACAGAAATGCTTCGGCACGCTCTCGAACACCTTCCCGAATCAGAACTGATTCGTCTCGACCTGCGGAACATGACGTTTCTCAAAGACACCGCATTTGAAGTTGTGGAGTCTTTTAAGCTCAACCTGGTCCGCACGCCAGCAATATTCGAGAATGTAAGGCCTGGCTCCTTGTATCATGCGCGCTATATGGACGACATCCTGGCAGAAGCTTTGTTCAATGCCGGTTTCGACAGCATTGATTCCTTCTGGAATGGATATACACCACTCATGATCGTCGACAATTTCAGTTTTCGCCGTTACGTAAGACTTATCAACTGGTTCTGTCAAAAACAAGCCAATTTGCTTGCAGTCATCCCCAATATTTCACCATCGTCGTCAACAGTTCCTCCTCCAGACTATCTCGAATTTCGTGCAGTACATCGCGTCGCGAGCATTTTGGGAGATCACACAGCATTCAGACAGCACATAGATATGGCTGGTTCTTCAATTCAGTCCCAGTATACTCTACTACTGCGAAGAATACTCTCAGAGGTGTGTCGAGACCCCTGCCAATGCTACTGTTCGCCTGGGGGCTGCGGCTCAACCTCTTTGTATACGAAGACATGGTACGGGCCTCAGTATAAACTGTCACCTAGAATTAGGCCGTCATTGGAAGACTTGAACATGGTACTCGACTTCTTCTCTAAGCAGGAATACAATGTTCAGGCAGCCTTTGTTCGAGTGTGCACCTTCGATAGGCTGGGAATGCGTCATACCTGCTGTACACATGTTTTGTTTCCATGTCCCTTCGAGAGGCTAGAGTCACGAGCTCCCCTTGTCATACTAATGGATCCTGTGGAAGTCAAGGAAATTCAAGAGGAGGACGAATATTTAGTAAAAGCTTTGGAGGAACTCATGATCGAATTCAAGTCAAGGCTACGGGACAGGCCTCAGTCCTTTCGTGACTTCTGGAAATGGTGGAACAATCGAATGGACGAAATAGATGCGGAGAAAGATCCAATACCGGATGAGGACATTAAGGCAATGGTCGATACCGGTGTTCATCTTGAGGTATAATCAGTGCTCATATCCTTGTGAGAACACGGACTCAAGGAATAAGTAAGAGTTTTGCCATCGGGGCAGACACTTCTGTCTAGTCGGGTGGAGAACTGCCCATGAGATCTCTAATAGTCATTTTCTATTTTCAATAGTTTCATCCCTGCTTCCTTCTCCAAAGCGCTTACTCTCGCTCTTCGTGTTATTGTCATCCCTATCGCCGCCGTCGTCTTTGACATCGTCTTTACCTCGGCTTTCCGGATCATCTTGCCTGTCATCGTTCAGGCAATCGTTTCCGCCATCGTCCCCGTCGTCGTCTATGCCTTCTATTTGCCCGGATGGCCAATCTCAAAAGGAAAGTCCCTATGGGTGTTCTCATGCTTTCCCGATACTTTGACATATTGTCTCCAGACCTCTGCATGGATGATATTGCTTTGATTCCCGTGGTCGTTCCTGCAAAGAGTGGACTTGATTGACGTTCTCCTTTGTCTTCGGCAGCGCCCACCTGTATGGAGTTTGTGGCAAGCTTTTATCCGAAATACTTCGTTATTCGCACGCAACTCAAGGTGGTGGCTCTTTCAAACGACGATTATGTCCGAAGCTCTCGGTATGCGATCTTACAGACTTGCTTGACCGAGATTGCTACATGGCTTGAGCTTCGGATCGTAACATTACCGCCGGTGAAGGTTTACCGGTGGGATGAACTCTTTCAAACCCCCTTGCAACAACCACAACAGATTAAAGTTCACGGAGTTCATCACATTAATGCCCACCCCAACTCCCCCTCCCCTCACCTCCTTTTCCCAACTCAACCCAACTTCAGTCACAACATCACCAAGCGTCACTCGCAATGGTCGCCCTCACTCTCACCCTGCTCCTCGCGACCCTGGCCGCGGCCGCGCCAGGGAAACTCGGCATCGTCGTCGCCCGCTTCAAAGAACCCCTCGATCCCTGGGCGCCGCATTCCAATCTCACCACAATCTACGCCAAAGGCAACGTACCGCAGGAAAACGACATAATCCAGCACTCCTCCTTCCGCTCCTACGTCCCGCTCCCCAACATTGGCCGCGAAGGCCACACGCACCTCTTCCACATCGCCACAAACTACGACACCCTCGACGACGTCATGATCTTCACCCAGGCGGACCCCTTCGATCTCCTCGCGCCCGCCGCCACGACCCCGGACCAGATGATCGAGAAAGCGCTGCAGGTCCCCGCCGACGACGTCACGCCCTTCAACCCGACTTTGTTTCATGACGTCGCGGACTGGACCAAGATTGACTGGAACAGCTCCAAGCAGGCGCTCTGGATCACGGAGAGCCAGAAGAAGACGCTGGCGCTGGCGCCGTACACGCCCGGGCAGTTCTGGACTAGGGTGGTCGGCAGCCGGCACCCACCTGCGATCAGGGCGATGCACGGCGGCACATTTGCCGTGAGGCGGGAGACGATTCAAAGGCTTCCGAGGGTTGTTTATCAGAAAGCGCTGGATGAGTTTGAGAAGGCGAACTCGAGCAACCCTGAGATTGGATTCTTCATGGAGAGGATGTGGGCGCCGATGTTTTCGGACAAGTACAGGTTAGCAGCGGTCGAAAACCCGTGAGGGTGCATCTAGTGCTAGGCAGCGATGGAAAAAGAGACGTTGATAAAAAAGTAGAGGCAAAAGCTTGCGCGAGAAGATCGAATAGAGAACGTATTAGCAACAAAAAGCAAAAGAAACTCCTCGACGGGGAATTGAACCCCGGTCCCCGGCGCATTGTGTTCGATGACAAGCCGATATCCTCACCACTAGACTATCGAGGATTTGCTGATGTGAAAAGCGCAAAGTTTGCACTACATGAACCTTGTACGGGAAAGTGGGGCGGCAAGTCGGCGGAATGTCCACAAACACTAACGCGCAGTCCAAGCCGAATGGCCCCCCTATTTCCCCTATGCTACAGCGACTATTTTTCCTGTTCTTGCGACTGTTGTTTGCGGTAAAGTCGCTATTATTGTTACTGCTGTTGTTACTACTATTATTACTACTATTGTTGTCGTCTATCGTCGTTGTCATCTATCGTCGTTGTCATCTATCGTCGTTGTCATCTATCGTCGTCGTCCTCCTCCTCTGTCGTCGTCCTCTGTCGTCGTCCTCTGTCGTTGTCCTCTGTCGTTGTCCTCTGTTGTCGTCCTCTGTCGTTGTCCTCTGCCGTCGTCCTCTGTCGTTATCCTCTATCGTCATCCTCTATCGTTGTCCTCTGCCGTCGTCCTCTACCGTCGTCTATCGTCGTCGTCTATCGTCGTCGTCTATCGTCGTCCTCCATCGTCGTCCTCCATCGTCGTCCTCCATCGTCGTCCTCCATCGTCGTCCTCCATCGTCGTCCTTGTCAAAGTTACCCGGCACACAGGAAATCTAGTCGTTTAGACACAGGAAAATTTAGCGGTCTCAAGCCGAAAAGGCATAAGTCGTAGGCGCCTTTCAATTGTATTCATTTAAGTTCATTAAGTGCTTCAAGCCTCAGAAGAAAACCAATCGTTCCCCTCGTGAACGCACAGTCTTTGCTGCGCTGCCAAATGCATGACAATCGCTCCACCCCAACGCCAATGCAGAACCCATCCCGGTATTACTCCGCTTGCCTAAACCGGCACCGCTCTCTCTCATGAGTGTCTCTGTACCATTTTGTGGTCAACTGTTTCGTGCAAGGAAAGTTCCTGCACTGGTAAGGTTGTCTCTTCTCGCGCGTGAACGCACACCCCTCGCGGATGTGCTTGTTGCGGTTGCTGACGCTGGAAAACGTCTTGGTGCACTGCGGCGTCGGGCACGGCAGCCTACCACCCCGAGCCATGTGGTCGCGCGACGACTGCCTGGAGGCTGTTGAGGCGATGCTACTGCAGAGACTGTCAGCGCTGTTCGGGCGGGGTAACAAATCCGACGATGAGAACATACCTGATGCTGGATGACGAGACGTTGCGGCGCATTCCTAGCGTGTTCAAGGAAGAGAAGCTGCTGTTCGGGGTGATGCCGGCTTCTGACCCGTATGCAGGTGATGGTGGGACGATGGATGGAGTGGCTGATTGAAAAGGGTCTGGCTTGGGGGTGACGAGGACATTGTGCATCGCGAGGTACTCTGCCAGCAGGGTATATGAACGGGCGTATCCGGGAAGGGTCCCGGAGATTGTTTGAAGAATGCGGGTTGTCGAGCCGTGAAGACCTGCAACATTGTTAGCTCTGTGGCTATCAAGGAAGTTGAGTTTCGCTCACCGATCACCAAAGAGAGAACGACAGAGAATGCGACCGAGGCCAACAGCATCATGGTCGAGGACAGCGCATCTTCCCAGCTGTTCGGGAGTGCAGGCGGCGTTCTTGACCCTCCTCTCGCCATCTCCTCAAAGCGGTCCATGTGGAGGAAGTCTGCCCACATGAAGTCGTCTTGTTGCGTCGATGAGGTCGAATGAGCTGCAGACCGCGGTGGAGACCGACCTGGGATGGCCTGGCCTTGGGCGACCCCTTGCCGGCTCTCATGCGTCTCGAACGCCCTCTGAATGGCGGCAAGTCTACTTCCAGAAGCGGAGCTTCGCGATGGTGCAGCTTCCCTTCGTCTCTCAAGCGCCAGAAGGCCTTGGACGAGTCCTTGGAAGTGGTGTAGGTTGCCGAGGTCAAGGTCGCATGATGGCTCGTCTGCGGGAATGAACTCCCACATTTCGTGTGCAACCTCGTCGAACGGTATAAGAGACGAGATGGGCAGAACTGAGCGCCATTTACCAATGTCGTTGCAGAATCTACATTTATATCAGCGTCTATCACTTTAAGGCATTAGCTTTGCCCAGCATTGTCAACGTACTGGTTGAAGATGGCCGCGTCATTCTTGAAAAAGGTAAGGCAAATAGCATTTCCCACCAACAGCGAGTCGACAACCTCGCCCAAAGCCGACGGCGGGCTGTCTTGCATAAGGCCACGGAAGACACTGATGCCACGATACCAAACGCCGTCGCCATCCATGTACTCGTCTTCCAAGTCTCTCAACTCGTCGTAAGTCGAGCGGTTACATACGTCCCGTAGCTTGGAGCACAATTCGTGCATGCTCGTGACAAGATCGCGACCAAGCAAGTGTCTCTGACGTCGCGAGCCTTTGAGCTGCACGGGTTCGTTCCGTAGATTCGACATCGGTCGCCGGAGGGGCCTTTCGGTTGATGTTGACATGCTTTGGTTGACCAACGGGTACGGCGAGAGGGCCTCGTCCCCAGAAGAGAACCCCGCGGCGGACTCAACGGCGTCTGGCTTGCTCACCGTGAAACCAGCATAATGGTCCATGAGACTAAGCTCTGCGAACGAGTTGACAGTGTCCTCCGGTAGGAGTTCTGCTGGCGGGTTGGTGACACCGGATGACAAGAGAATCTGCATGATCTCCGTGTCGTCGTTGAAAAGCGCAATCGCAGCAGCCTCTTGCGCACCATCGGCCATGATGTTATGGCTCAGAATCAAGCGCACAATGTCGGCCTGGCCCCAAAAGGCAGCAGCCGAAAGGGGAGTGAGAACAACACCGCTGCCGGCCTCCTCGCCCTGGTAGACACCCAAGAAAGTGGCCCCTTGTTGGAGGAGCCCGCCGACGTGCTCTGAATGACCGAGCCGGATTGCTACATGCAGGGCGTCGTGGGTTATGTCCGCGAGACATGGCCCTTGCTGGCTGTCTTGTTTGTCCTTGGTCCGTGACGCGAGGTCCAGAACGTAGCGGTAGATGTCCAGACGGCCACAGTCTAGTAGCTTCAGCAGCAGGTCTGGACTCGTCTGCCATTCGATCTCGCCGGAGCGCACGACTGGCTCGCACAGCTCATGCAATGATGAAAGGTCACCGGCAAGGGCGAGTTCGGTAAATCTCGAGCTCAGGGCTTCGAGATAGTGGTCGGGGACTATGTCAGGGATGAGTCCGAGGGAGAAACAGGAGTCTAGGTCATCCAGGCCGGCGTCGACGCTCCTCTGGTGCATATCATGAAGCTGGTTGATAGTTAACAGCCCTTGTGACGGGTGGAGTTGAACACCAACACCG